GCTTTAGGATTTAGGGGTTTAGGGGTTAAGGGTTTGAGGGTTTAGGGTTTGGGGTTCGGGATTTAGGGGTTTAGGGTTTGGGGGTTTAGGGTTTGGTGGTGTAGGGTTTGGGGCTTTAGGATTTAGGGGCCTGGGGGTTTCGGGTTTGGGGGTTTAGGGTTTAGGGAGTCGAGGTTCCCCAATGGTAGGGTATATAGGCTTTGGTGTTCTTGGTAGGTTTCCTTAGAGGGATCTATAAGGCTTCTATAGAGGATCTATACGAGTTTAAGGTTTAGAAGGGCTTTAGAGGGTTCAGGGGTCTAGGGTTTAGGGGTTTAGGGTTTTGGAGGTCTGTGGGTTTAGGGGTTTAGGGGTTTGGGGGTTTGGGGGTTTACGGTTTCGGTTTTTCGGGTTGAGGGGTTTGGGGTGAAGGAAACTTCCAGATTGGGCATCAACGACTTCAGGGCTCACACAGTTCAGGGCTTGGAGTTCACAGATTTTGGCTTGGGGAATGGGTTGAGGGGTTCAGGAGGGTTTAGCTCTCCTCTTTCTGGCCGGCCCAAGACTTGGCTAGGGCACTAAGAAAGTGGCCTTAATAATTAGAATAGGGTTTGGGGGGCCCATTATACTATAAGTATACTAAGGCACCCCCCACAACTGGTACTTATTAATAGGCCCCTATAGTAAACCCTAAACCCTAAACCCCAAACAAAAAAACTCAAACCCTAAACCCTGAACCTTAAACCCTAATGAGCAAGACCTTCCACTGACCTCCAGATTCTGAGTTTTGGGGTTTTGGTGTTTTGGGGTTTAGGGGTTTTGGGGTTTAGGGGTTTAGGGTTTAGGGTTTAGGGTTGGGTTTGGGGTTCAGGGTATAGGGGTTTAGGGTTTGGGTTTTTTTTCAGCCAGGAGCTTTGGCTTTGCTCGCGGTGGGGTGAGGTCTAGGGCTTTTTCAGCGATATGTGGCTTGAGTCCGTCGGACGCACGCCTATAGGGCTAAAGGTTTAGGGTTTGGGTCGAGGGGGGTTTAGGGTTTTTGGAGTTTTGGGGTTCCGGTGTTTGGGATTTGGGTTTTTTGGGGGGGTCAGGGTTTAGGGCTCTAGGGCTTCAGGTGGCTAATGCATGGTTTTGAGGGGAAGGGCTGAAGGGCTTCTGGGTAGGGTTTAGGGTTTAGGGTTTAGGGTTTAGGGTTTAGGGTTTAGGGTTTAGGGTTTAGGGTTTAGGGTTACGGTTGAGGGCTTAGGGTCTCTGTGAGAGTTCCAGAACGATTCCATGAAGGATTTACGCTGTAAAAGTAAAGAGTCGCAAGTACGGTTAAGGGTTCGGTTAAGGGTTTTCCAGGAAGCCCAATACCCCAGGTTTAAGGTTTAGGGTTTAGGGGTTTTCCAGGATGCCCAATATCCCACAAGGCAGGATCACTACTGACTACGATTGAACATACAAGTGCTCACTCAAACACAGAGCCTTCAATCCCGGGCAAGATCCCAAGGCACTTGCTGCTTGAGCCCCTGTGAAAACCGTTCAAAGATTCATGAAGACCCTCTACAAAAACCTATGTTTGTGTAGTTTCAATTTTCTGAAATGAATCCAAGCACATTCTGGTCCTTCGCGTTCAGGGGCTCTTGCATTGATGCCTGTCTTTTCGAGGTGTACCTGAAGCAGCGCCACGCCAGCCTCAAATCCAAGGCCTAGAGAGAGAGAGAGAGAGAGAGAGAGAGAGAGAGAGAGAGTGAAAGAGAGAGGGACAGAGATAGAGAGAGAGAGAGAGACTGAGTATTTAAGGGTTTAGGGCCTTAACCCTAAACCCTAAACCCTATAGACCCCAAACCCTATAGACCCTAAGCCCTAAAGGGCTTTTGAGCCTCAACACCGGCGCCTCGAAACGGAGCCAAGGCCTTTGGAAAGAGTGGAGTTGGGGTCTATGGAGCCACTAAAGGCCTTGAGAAATAGTCGGTTTAGGGTTCAGGGTTTAGGTCTGTGGATTTAGGGCTTGTGTTGAGTCTTCGAAGGCTTTTAGGGTTTAGGTTTTGAGGTTTTGTGGCTTTTGTGGTGCTTTGAAGAGAGGTTTAGGTTTTCCTTGTTGAGCTTCTGGGGTTCAAGGCGAAGGTTTTTAGGGTTTAGGGTTTAGGGGGTTTGAGGATTATGGTGTTGACGCTCGTTTTGCCGCTTGAGGCCCCAAAGGACAGCGCGGACTTAACGTAGGCCCAATAGGGGGCAACAAATGATTCCTATATTTTTGGGGGTGTTCCTTATTCTGTTTAGTGTAGTACACCCCCAAACCCTTTTCGAAGTATTAAGGCCCCTACAGTAGGGCTCCTGTCGCCTAGGTCTAGATAATGGGTTAGTTATGTTTATATATGCATATATATATATATACGCATACATTTATTTGCTTATTTATGTCGCTAGTAACCTGTTGTTTAAGGAACTGGAGCCCTAAGGAAGGGACTAGAGTGTACAGGGACTGCATATCGCCACGATCCTCAAGTAAAACCCTCTATGAAGCCCTACCAAAGCCTGATATAAACCTTCTTATTGTTTAGGTTTAGGGTTTTTGTATTCAGTATGGAAGCCTCAATTGTTATTAGTTCGAAGTAGTGCTATTCCCCAGAAGATGTGCTCCAACAGAAGTTATAATTATCGACCCTGAGGCTTGTATATTCCAAGCAACATACCCCCGCAGCTGCAAATCCTTCGCTAACCAGACCGAAAGAAAGCCCTGAAACCTCGAAACAAAGGACCAGCCAGCCAAACTAAGAAACGGACAAACACCTGATCAAACAACCCTAAACCCCAAACCCTAAACCCTAAACCCTAAACAACCATCAAAAAGCTAGACATGCGCAAGAAACCGTGGAGGCTTCGGAGCTCTCCCAGGATGTTGCAGCGCTCAAGGCTGGAAGAGATTACTTTAGACTTTAGGTTTAGGGCGTGTTGGGTAGTTTGGATCTAGGGTTTGGGGCTTACGGGTTGAGGGCTTTAGGAGTTAGGGTTGAGGGTTTTTGGCATTGTGGTGGTTTTGGCTTTAGGTTTTAGGGAAAATGCGATCCTTTTGTGGCGGCGTACCAATGCCAACTGTGTAGACCTTTCTTCTTCATAGATGTACACGTGGTAGTGGCTTTTGTTGTAGTATTGCAACTTTTCACATATACAAATGTATATGCATGTATATACATATATTTCCATATATGCATACATATACACACACATTTTGTGTGTCAGATATAGTATTGCAGCTCCATTCACGTGCAAAGGGCTGACTTTCACATTCGTCTTTCACTGAGCCTCCGGCTCCTCGTTGTCGATGAGAGCTTCTTCTTTGGGTTTAGGGTTTAGGGTTTAGGGTTTAGGGTGCCCGAAACCATCAACCCTGTGCTCTAAATCGGGGTGGGGAGGGAGACGGGGGTTCCGGGTTGATGACCCAATGTTGAGGGTGCAGTTGGGATTGTTCGAGGGTTTAGCAGTTAGTGCCCCACGGTTTAGGGTTTGAGATATCTCTTTAATTTGGGGTTAGCTGTTTGCTTATAATTTGCTTTTAAAGGTTCAGAGGACTTCGTAAGTAGGCTTATAAGTTATAGAAGTTTGAGGTTGTAAGTACTTTACTGGAGGATATAAGCAGGCAACGCTGTTGAAGCCCTACAGAACTCTCCTTGCCAAGCCCCCCCGATCTTCAAAGTAGGTATCGGGATCCCTGATTGAGCCAGTCGACTTTTCGGAATATGCTGGCATATGCTGGCCTTGACTCTCACGCCTACAGGGCCACCTTGGTCACGATGTTGACCAACATGTTCCCGGAAGACCCGCAGGACCTGAAAGCACTCTTGGGCTACTTGGGCTTGGCCTCCGCAGCTTCAAGCAGAGTCGTGAAGATATCGGCAGCCGTCAAGTCCAAGGTCGTTTCAGGCTGTTTAACAAAGGACGAGCCCCACTGAGCCTCCGAAGCCAAAACCAAACGCTGGAGGCTAATCTGGATCCAGTCGTACGTCGACAGTACGCTCCAGAAGTTCCTGCATCTTCGCCAGACTAAGAGCGACACCTACGGGTTTATTTCTGAACAGAAATGCGCGGCAAACCCTTGGGACGGTGCTCCAAGAAGTTCCAGCCAGAGCGGGTGTTACGGTTCAGGCTTCATGGGGCTTAGGGCTGCAGGAATTTATCCCCAAACCCTAAACTCCTAAACTTTAATAGGGTTTTGGGGCTTAGGGTTTTGGACCATGTTGGCAGTTTGGGTTTCGGGCTTAATAAGCTCTAAGTAGGGTTTGTTTGGGACAACTCGGGCTTCGGTTTCCGGTATAAACACTAGGGGTTAGGGTTTAGGGTTTAAGGTTTCAGTTTGGGCTTCTGTTTTCGCTCAGGATTCGTCTAGGAGTCTAGGTTTTTCTTGGGTGTCTGAGAAGGTCTTGTTTTTTCAGGAAGGCTGTGCGTGCCACGGCCTTGTGTGTACAGGTTTCAAGCAGGGCAATATAGAAGCCTAAATAATATCCAATATCACTGTTAGGGTTCCTTATTATAAGCATACTTTCAAGAAGCCATATTACTGTTAGGGTTCTTATCATAAGCATACTTTAAAGGAGCCTAAGCCCCTTGTTCTAACTATTAGGGCCCTTGCCTTACATCCGTTTTTCGTTAAAAGTTCTGAAATGCAATGAGGGTGCTGAAGCTTCTGTGGGCTTTATGTGGGGCTTTAAGGGGGACTCTGTTCGGTGCTAGGGCTTATAGTGCGACATCGTACTCAAGGGCTTCTTCTGGCATTTCTTGTAGAGTTGATCCATTCCCAAGCCCTAAACCCTAAACCCAAAACCCTAAACCCTAAAGTTTCAGTTGCATCGGAGGATAAAAAGGATCGCAGGCCACAGGGCTCATACTTCTGAAAGACCCGGCTCTGTGTTGGATTATAGGCTGTTAGGGGCCTACAGCGTCGGTGCTTCTTGGATTGAACCCTGTTGCTGGCCTGAACCCTAACCCCAAAGCTCTAGGCCCTAAACCGTAAACCCTAGTGAACCCTAAATCCATCATGGCAGGATGGGTTGAAGCAGGCAAATTCTGTCGCTGAGCCAGTGCTGATTGCCTTCGGTTCGGCCGGGTGCCCAAAAAAAAGCGGTTCAAGGTTCTTTTGGCGGTGGTTTAGGGATTCAGGGTTAGGGTTGCTTGATGTGATGTGTTATAAACCCTAGGCCCTAGACCATGGTTCTACAGCACCCATTTCGGGCTTACAATGGTTTAGGGCGTCAAAAGTTGAGGGTCCGTAGGTTTTCGGGTTTGCAGATAGGCGGGTCGAAGTTGCAGGGTGCGTGCTTGTGAGGGTTTGGGGTTTAGGGGTTTGGGGGGTTTAGGGTTTAGGGCTGTGTTTGTGTGTGGGTGTGTCTGTGTGTAGGTGCAACACCTTGAGGTTATAAGTAGGGACGCAACTCGTGTCATATTTGGAGCGAGCATCTTATGACGCAAAGAGCCAAATTCTTTAGACATACTCTAAGCCTCAAGCCTTGCACCGAGAACTTAAATCGCACCAGCCCGAGCCGCAAACCCCAAACTTCGATATGTGAAACCCCCGAAAAAACTTCAAGCCCCTCGACGCGTCGACAACGCCGGCTTGGAAGGGTTCCAAAAAGCAGGGACCCACATACCCACGAACAACTGAGCAGGATCCCTGATACGCGGACCTCCCAACAATGATGACAAGTTACTATGCTACTAGTACATGAGTCATGAGTTTTTCTACAATGGGATCCTCGACAACGCAGATATTATGGACTTTCTCGGCGCTTCCAACTCCAATCGTATGTTTGATAATATTGACCATGTTGCTGTGCTGATGCCGTCTCGCATCATCGAGATACTAGTAGCAGATACCGCGGCTGCGGGGATAGTTGACAGCCGAAACTACATGAGGGTTTCCGAAAATGGGCGGACCCTAATATAGTACCCTAAATAGTAGGATCCTTATTATAAGGACCCCCGTCCTCAAATCCTAAACCCCTGAACCCCGCCTACGATCCCCAAACCATGTATGAACCCTTAAGACACCCAAAACCGACACCCCAACGCGACTGAGTCGCAACCGAAATCTCCCAACTAGCAATTGTTTTTTCTGCTCCCATGTCGGCGGCTGAGGCTTCATTGTCGCAACTAAGGCATACGCAGAATCGCACGGTACTACTGAATGAAGGTTTTAACCTAGAGCATGAAGGCACCAATTATCAAAAGGCTCTCTTGTGGAGAGTCTTGAGAAGTCCTACAGCTCCAAAACCACCTTTAGAGTAAGCCCACTGAGACGGAGATCCTAAGCTATAGAAACCCCCTAAACTAAACCCTAAACCCTAAACCCTAAACCCTAAACTAAACCCTAAAGGACCCCTTGAAGGAACCTCGCCCCTTCTAGCAACCCGGAGGATGAAGTCCTGAAAGGAACCCTTCTGGGCTCCCTTGCCGCAATCCTAAACCCTAAACCCTAAACCCGCTCTTAGTTCCCCAATACCCAACCTTTAAACTTTCTGGGTTCTTATACTGTAGTCGTAATCTGAAAGTCTAACCTTGCATTTCCCTGGCTTATTGGGGAAGCAAGTTCAAGGAACCCTGAAAACACCCATCATCGGGCCTTTGAAAGGGAACCCCAATAGGAACGTTTCGGAAGATACCCCTAAACCCCCAACCCTAAAATGGACCCCATAAAATCCCCAAGCCGTAAACCCCATACCCCAAACCCTAAACCCTAAAAGGGAGCTCATAAAATTCCGAAGCCCTAAACCCCATACCCTAAACCCTAAAGCCTACAGAAAGGGACCCTAAACCCTAAAAGGGAACTCTAATGAAGGACCTCTGACGGGAACCCAGAAGTTGAGAGACTGGGAACCTAAGGACACCGGCGTCACTGAGCAGGTGGCCAAGAAGTTTGCAGGCTGCCCTGAATCGGTTTAGGGTTTAGGGTATAGGGTTCAGGGCTTAGAGTTTAGGGTTTAGGGTTTAGGGTTTAGGGTTTAGGGTCCTCTGGGGTTTCTATAGGGTCTCGGGCTCTCGGGTTCTAGGCTCCCTGTTCCAAGAGTTTAGGATCTTCCCCGGAGATTCAGGGTTGGCGGCTTAAGACTTACATAGGGTTTAGAGCTTTGGGTTTTGGGTTTAGGGCTGAGGGTTTCGCATCTTCGTAGGTAAGGTTTGTAGGAGTTATGAGGATGCTTTACGGGCTCCTGTCGGGTTGCGAGTTTCGGGTCAAGTGACGTCTAGTCCAGCTAGACTTTATCTACACATGCTTGCTAAGTCGTGAAGCCGAGGCCAAGGCTCAAACCCTTCAACTCCTCAGATCAAAGTCAGAATGCATGAATAAATAGGGGCCTTGATACATAGAAGAGGCTTTGGGGGTCCATTTCACCTATTCACCTATAACTGTAATAAGGAACCCCCCAGAATAGTACTGGTAACTATTTGGTAATTATTTAGGCCCCGAATTAAGCAAATCTAACCTCCAAGCACAGCTAGAACCCCTCAAGCATTTTGCAAGGGGTCTATACTACTAACGCTCTGAAGATTCTGGTTAGCAGCAACAACATTATTCAAATTGTCAGGGTCCAGGGCTTGACTCCATTTTGTGTACAATGATTTGGACACCATGCGGGCATATATAAGATCAGTTAACTGCCATGCCCTGTCATGGGGGAGCAGCCTGCAGAGTCTGTGCCATAATCCTACCATGGCGGTTCTTATCCTAGCTGCATTCTTGCCAACAATGAGCTATCATTTAGAGGGACCCTCCTATGGGGGGATTGCAAGTAGAGTTTGCCAAGAGAAACTGATGGTTGGATAGCAAGGCCTGCCAAGCAATAGCAAACGCTGGCAAGCCTTAGTAGAGCCTAGGCAGGCCCTAGTAGTCCGGTTGATTCGTGAGGATTGCAAATCCCTGCTAAGACCTCGTAAGGATCACAGGGCACACCAAGGCATAACGTTGGTTTTGAGCTTTGGTAAGCACGAGTACAGTTTAGCAACGCTCTTCAAGGCTTGTACTGCTGAGCACTTGTGAGCACTAGTAGGGACTAGTGACTAGTGAGCACTGGTGAGCGCTACTGAGTGCTAGTGAGTGCTGGTGAGTGCTGGTGAGGCCAGGTCAGTTTACGGCGGGGCAAACGGAGTTCATTCGCTGGCTCCAAACCATGTCTTCTCAAGAACCCTTACTAGCAAACTCCACTTGCCTTCCCCCCGCTACATGTTGAAATTCCAAAATCCCAAGAAGCAGAGCTCTCAACCCAAAATCACCGTGAACTCCACATCCCACGCACCCTCAACCCAAATTACAAACCTAACCTCCTGGCCTCAACCCCAAACCACTCCCACAGTTCCAGGACCCGGAGTCAAAAGCACTCATGGTCCATAACAGGGAGGTTTTGGGTTCGGGCTTTCTAGGGCTTTTAAAAGTGGTTATGTAGGCTAGAGTAGCGAGTGGTTGGGAGGTGTCGGAAGGGTATAATAGTAAGGGTTTAGGGCACAAACCGTTTCAAGCATATCGACTTCATATCGACCCACAGACGCCGCTAGCATCCGCCCAAGCCCGAAGTCTTCGTTGCCAGGACTTTGTGCCGAACGCGGTGTCCAGGCCCACAAAGGGATCTGGGGTTTAGGGCTCTCCAATGTTAATATATAGGAGCCTGAATAATTCGACTAGGGTATGGGGGTATATTATACTATAGATGTAATAAGGACCCCATCAAACCCATTTTAATTATTACGGCTCCTACATGATTTGGCTGACCAACTTGCTGGTCAGGACCTATAAGAGAGAAACCAGAGAGCCAAAATAGGGAGCGACATTGGAGAGTCTGGGTGCTGTGTAGGTTTCAGCCTTCCATGGGGTTTAGGTTTGAGTGGTTTAGCGCAAAGAAGACCAGGAATCAGGAGGCCAGGAACCGTGAAACTTGCTGAATACGCACTGTCGTATGCGAGATGAATTGCTTTTGGTATGGCTCTCACTAGCTAAGGTTTATGCCGTAAGAACTCTACCCTAAGCGCGTACTAGAGCACTGGTAATATACTCAGATAAGAGGCGTTGGAGCAGGGACCAGGAGACCCAAGCTCCGAAACCTCTCAAACCTAAACCTCTACACCCTCAAACACCAACCCTCCAAGGACAAGCTCCAAGACCCTAAGCCCGAAACCCACAACCCTAAGCCCAAAGCCCTGAACCCTAAGCCGCCGATTACTCCCCAAGTCCTAAACTCCATGCACCCAAAAACTCTTAAGCGGTGAACCTCAGCCCTAGGCCCTACAAGCCTGAAAGGTGACCTTCAAACCTCAGACACCCGACACAGTGCAATCGTCATAGTGTCCTCTAGTAGTCGCTGCAGATACCCTTGGAAATCGAGCCTTCGATGGTAACCCGTGTAAAAACTTGTAAGGCCACCCAAGACCCAACACCCTTTCAAGCCCTAACATGGCCACGACAACACCCCATAATTCCGTGTAAAGCCCGATGACGCCCTCTAAAACCCTGTGCATGCCCTGTAACCCCTCATGACACCCAGATAGCGACATCCCTTAGACCCCATACCCCAAACCCAGCCCTGAACCCAGACCCTCACCCTTCATAGAAAGCAACATAGGGGCCTAAATATTTATAATTATTACAATAAGGAACGCCCAAAATAG